AATAAACACAGTTATCTCCCCTCACTATATAGTGTACATATTTATCTCCCACACCCTAATTTTAATGTTCATATTTACCCAAGTAAGGAGTAAGTTCGGATTCAAGAGCAAAATTTGAGCATATTTGGGAGGTCTCAATTTTAGGAAAAGACTCTTTTAAATCTGACCAAAAAGTTAGACCTAGATGACGTTATTTGTAGTCATTGTAGACAACCACGGACATCTAAAGATCTTAAGCATTCAAACAACAAATATAATGCAAGAAAGCATATCTATTTATCTATTTCCAATATAACAGGCTAATAAAAAAGAAAGCTGAAAAATATATATTTAACTACATTTAGCATAAAAGTAAAATTAATGACGTCATTTGGTTTATTGACCTAATACGTGAAATACTTAGGTTGTTTGTAACAAATATTACATATATGTAACCAGTTTGCTTGAAATGTCTACCTTAGCAATGGTAGAAATCGGAATAAGTAAGGTAACAAAGATGTTACACAGGCTCTTTGAAATAATTTAGTAGTTTTCAATTTATATAAAATATTTTTAACGATTTTAAAATGTCAAAAGTTAAAGAAAAGCAAATGTAAGCGATAATGAACTTGAAACATGTTCGTAGGACACAGATGCCCCTACACTCCACTGTCTATTGACATACAGCGGGACAATATGAGAGAGGTACAGACAAAAGGAAATTTTACATGACTACATTTACCCCTAGGTGGTTGGGGCATAAAACAACTATGATTTTTTCTAATGTTGACATACTAAATTTTGCTTTACTACACATACTGACCAACAGTCCTGTAAACTTTCATGACTTAAGATCAAATACGTTTTAAGCTTTGCGTCACACAATTTAAACTAAGTAGAGGGCAATACCTCTTTCAAAACTGACATAAACCACAAGCAAAACCAACCTTCTCAGCTTCACATGCTGATCAACATTCCAGAAAAGTTTGATGATTCCAGCATAAGCACTTTAAGAGGCACACATGACACAAAATTTTGAAAGTTGTTTTTTGTCAAGGGCACTTACTCTACATATTCTGATTAAATATACATGGAACCCCAAGGTGCAAAAATACAAGTGCTTACAAACATTCCTATAAAGTTTCATGACTGTAGGTCAAACATTTTTGAACTACGCTTTCAAAACATGAAAATTGCAACGATTTACTAAGTAAAGAACAATAACTCTGACATAACTGAATTAGTCCATGCAATTTTTAACCCGCTGGGGCATAACTGAACATAATGAACAACGTTCCTGTGAAGTTTCATGACTTTAAATTGAATACCACAGAACCACAGAAATTGAAAATATGTCAAGGGCAATAACTCTGAAGAAACACAGCGATTTTAGAGCTACATGCGACACAACAGGAGAACTTAAGGAACAGACAACGGTCAATCTTAATGCCCCCATCCGTATAGTTGGGACACAAAAAGTGTTTCAGTTGTAACATAGGTCATAGGTTATTTCACTCTATTTTTCATTATTCTTGTAACAAATTATAACAAATTAACAAATTATAAACATTCAATTAATGTAAATTGAGTTCAGATTTGTTTTGTCTTAAATATAAATAAGACATTAGACAATAGAAACTAATTAATACAATACTATAAATAAACAAATACCATATCAACCATCAAACTGTAAATCAATCAAAACCTTTACCTTCTATCAATATTAATTACAAAATAACGCCATATTTTACGTCATAGTTTATTACCATATCCCATTCTTCTTGATTTATCCTTATTGTGTTTCCTGAATGTATGTGACTTCCTAAATTACATATATATGGATAAGTAATATACATGCCATTTTCTGGTTCCTTTTCCCTTAATATATGTATATAAACCTACCAGCTCGACAAAAACCCAAACACAACAAAGGTTAAAAACTTAGAAATATCTAACTATAGACATCTATTAATATCTGCGCGAATTAAAAAAAGAAAAACAACAACAACAAATCTGACTAGAACATGGAATAGCAATACATTGATATATTATGTACAAATATACAGATAAACCTATTATTTACAATTACATCTGAATAAAATTAATAATGATTTGTATTTTCTTAATACATAAGTATACCAAAAAGAACATTTTAAATATACATTCAATATGTAAATGATCTCACTCTTAAAATACTGTTACGTTCTTTTATATAAATTTATAAAATCATTTTCAAGACATCTGAACTGTTATATGGTCCTAGATAAAACTGTTTGCTATATAACCTGAAAGCTTACAGGTCATATAACCAGTAAAACCATAATAATATGTTCGTCCTCATTGAGATATTAAGAAAAGCAAAATGCAAACTAACATTTTCCCTTTTTTGTCTATATTGATTTAGCAATTTTTGAAAGTGCCTTTTGTCATAATTGTAAGCAACAAATTGAAACTCATCAAAATTACACTATTGTACAGAATTCAAAAAATATATGTTTTCTTTAAAGTAAGTCTTTATGTAAATGTATTTTTTGCAAGAATTAACAATGTCCTGAATGATAATGTGTACATTATTAATTTTGCCTAACAATTCTTGTTTAACTATATTCCACTCTAAAATAGCAAAAACTAATTTTATATGACTGCATATCTTACGATCTAATAAAAAACCATTTCAATCATATTTTTTTTTAGAAGTAAATTGGTCTATAATGGCAGAACTGTAATGCCATAAATAATTATGTTGATAGTATTATTATCATATGTTAAAACAATTAAAAAGCCAAGAAAAAACTGCATATGGATGTTGTTGTTAATTTAATAGCATATAATAAGGTATTAAAGAACCAAATATTACCTCTCCCTGTCTACAGATTCGGATCATGATTGTCAACAAGTGTGCAAAATTCAAAGCCATATGACGATGGACTTTGAAAGGATCTGAGGTGATATGCAAACTTTAACATATATTCTAAGTTGAACAAATGGCATTTTGTAAAAATGCTTAATAGAGTTACCCCCCCCCCCCCTGTCTACAGGTTGGGGCATGAAAGTGAAAAAGTGTGCAAAGTTTCAAAGCCATGTGTCAATGGTTTCACAAGTCTTCTTTATGTGTCTGAATTAACTTAAGTAAGTAAAGGTTTTATTTTAACTATAAAATCTACTTTGAGAATCCAAATTAATGAAAAAAAAAATAAAGTGGAATTATTTATCATTAAATAAGTTTTTTTTATTTATCAAGTGCAAAAGTTTTTATGTAATTTTACTTTTATAATCTTTTTCAAAACTTTGATAACTTTTATAAAATTACATATAAATAATTCAATAAAAATCTCTCACCTGTGAAATATTTCCAAATCCTATTTTTTTTATCAATTAAGTTCCGTAGAAAACTGTTTGAATTATTTATCCTTTTCAAATGTTATTATCAATTTATTCATAAACAACTATCACTTATTTAAACTTTTAAACTTTTAACAGAAATAAATGTTTATAAAATTAAATGGCCAAACTATACATGTAAACTGGTGCAAATAAATTTGAGGAAAGTGCCATTATCCAATTTGTTTTTTGAGTGTCCATTTTTAAAATGTTTTCATTTCAAAGTATTGTATTAATTTTTTAATTTATTTCGCAATGTTTTTGCTTTGCTAACTTGGTTTCCTTGTTTGGAACTCAATCACCCACCCGCACCAGTCTTTGCAGTCTCGTGTCACATGAAAAGTTTGTGAACGCCGAATGATTTCTCTAATACTTCCATATTCTTTTTCTGGTCTTATGTCTTGCATCTTTACTGTAACTGACTTCGGCAGACTTTCCAACACGATAATAAAGTTCTGTAAACTTCCTGCAGATATATCTATTCTGTTCAACTCCACACGTTCAATATTCAACATGTCACGTGACAGTAACAATGAACTTTCATCTAGATTGGTTTCCTCCAACGTAACATCAACTAATGACGGTGTTGATATATTCAATTGTTGCCTCCAAGGTAACTGCAAGTATAACTTTGATAGAGTTGAATGTTGAGACAAGTCCATGTTCCCTCTCTCACAATTAGAGGCGCGATGTTCTTCACAGTATAACATTTTCAATGTTAACTCTTTCATTGATTTGTGACCGGAGATAAAATTGAAAAATGTTTCCAGTATTTTGTGAGATAACGTGAAGCGCTCAATATATAAATATTGTAAGTTTTGTAATCGCGCAAAAATTTCACTCAGATTTTCTTCACCACTTATCCATTCACCCTTTGACAAGGTTACGTTCTGTAAACTGGAAAACAATATCCGATTTATCTGGGCCTTTATCGACATGAATTCACCACAATAGACAAGTTTCTGTAAATGATCGAGATCTGTGAGAGAGAATAAATCTATAATTTCACATAAACTGTTGTAAGTGTAGTTGGTGTTTATATAAAGTGATTTTATGTTGGTTTTGTTTTGTTTTAACAAACGCTGTAACTGCTCACTGTGTTCGGTGCCCTTGTCAATGACGTAATCTTGTAAATATATATGAGTATTGTCAATTTCAGGCATTTCTTGTAAACACGACATGAACATTTCCTGTATGTTATACAGTGGAGTATTAAACATTTTCTCCTCACCCACCCTAGTTCTGTAGTCGCGTGTTTGTTCGTCTTTATTTATCACAGGCATTAAATCACGAGATATTTCACACATCCGACCGGCATTCATTTCACTAATGAATTCCCAAACTTATGACATGTCTAGAATGTCTTGAATATTTCTACATTTTTCTAGAACAATTTTCGAGTCTTTGAGAACTTATAAATATGGCGGCAAAGAATTCCTTTGAACTGTTTTGTGGGAAAATGAACACTTTACTAACCTTTTTATTAATTTTGTTGTTTACTTTGAGACAATATTCCCGAGTGAAGAGTGAAATTTCATCTCTTCTGGTGTAGATATTTTGCAGTAATGATCCATCAAATACCAGCGTGTTTTCTTTTGTTTTATTGTATAATGTATCATAAGCTAATTGTCCTAAATTCATCAGGAGTGGGAAGTATTCCTTACATTTATCATGTTCAGAAAAAGCATGCTGGAATTCACTGAAGAAAGAGGTTTGTGAATATTTCCATATTTCTGCGTCGTTCTCAATAAGAGGAGTTCGACTATTTTTACATACAGTTCACATTTTGATTTACCTATATTGAATCCTTCACAACTTAAGCAAATCATATACATTAGAAGTAAAGGCACGTATGCAAGGTGAGCAACACGGCTATTGAATATTTCTTTAACTAAAGAAGTGTCATCAATTTCTATTGACATGTTATGAGGAGGAGATTTCAATCTTAGTAATGTTCGTGTTACAAGTGTACCTGCTGAGTCGTGGCTAAGTTTGGTAAGTTCTACAGTTTTCCCTAACTCATTTGAACTTAAATTCAAATCTCCTAATTTCCATGGTCTTGTTGTCGTTATAATTGTACATTTTTCTCGAACGTTCCTGTGGGGGATTGATCGTGGTCCTCTTTCACATTGCGTATTTGGATGAGTCCATTCATCAAGGCCATCAAGAATCACTAGGCATTTCTCACGACTCAGTAGTTTCTCAATAAATTCTTCCGTAAACGATGTTGAGTTGGCCAGCTTTGAAATAATAAGTTTGAAAATGAGCTCATCAACAGAACATGAAGTGTTCGAATCTCGCAATAACACCAGAAATACGAAGTCAAAGTCACGCATACAGTCCATATCTTTCATTTCAAAATATTGCGCATCTTCATCTGGACAGTGCGCCTGATACCAAGATGTCGCTAGATATTTTGAAAATGTAGTTTTTCCTAGTCCAGCATCAGCCTTTAAATATATTTCTCGGTTAGCCACACCTTCAGTTTTGAACATATCCTGCAAAGTGTTAACATTTAATTCAGGCCTGATATAGAAAGAAGCCAACGGCGTATCATTCTCTTCAATAAGCGGCGAAAGGAGAACTTTACTGTGACTCCATTTGTAGAATCTCATCAGATCTTCTTTAAGTTCTAAAAATGGATATAAGAAACATATATATTAGTACATGAAATATTCAAACCTATAAGTAAAATCAAATGTAGTCGACTACGCAGCTCAGCTGTAATTTACTGGTGAAATGTCAAGCTGGTCATCATTAAGCTATATATCTCTTTTTATTTCAACTTTTTGCTTACTTTTCTACATATCCTGATGTTATACTCAAGCACAAAAAACCAAAGATGTATGCTTCAAATTTTTAATTTTTATTTATAAACTGTATATATAAAAACATAACCAGATGATCAATTTTTTTTGGCTGAAAATATTTCTCTTGAACATACAATATTTAGATATATTTTTTTAAATAAAGTTTTTGTTCTTCTTAAATGTCCATATGAATACTTTAGTATGCGCCTTTGATATTGAATAAGTAAATGGCTATAAAATATTTATGACGCTGTTTGTAAAATTTATATAATTTCATATTAATTTATTTAATTACTATCATTTTCATCACAGTTGGCTGTCCTTGTTTCAATGCTATATAATCATTTACATTACTTCTCTCGAGTTAAATAGCGAATTTATTTGTTCTATATTTAGAGTAATAAACTGATTGGTTTGGTTACTTGATTTGAAGTCGTGTAATGAAACTGAAATAATGTACAGAGGAATACAAGTGATCTTCATAAAAAGGAGCTGCTGATTAAGGAATCTGTCTTACAATCCAGGTATCGAAGATTCGAACCCTTATTGAATGCCGATCATGTTTCTTCATAAAGACCACAGTATATTAATCGGTCTACTTTCTGTACCCGCAAGAAAGATACAAATTTGCCCTTAGCAAACTCCTGGATAAGACCCCTATGTATTGTTCAGAAGTATAATACACTATAGAAATCGGAATGAACCTTATATACACTCCTGTTTATATCCCGGGGTAATTTTGTATATTATTGCGATTTGTCAAAAACAACAACATAAAATACATTAAAAATCTTACAATCGTAAAAAACTGGTATCAACAAATCTTGATTTTTAGTATCAACTGTTGTATTTCCACTGCGCGGGAAGAACTGTAACATACATATTTTGATGGCTATTTCACATAAGGGACAGGTCGTGTAAAGTGAATCAAAGTACTGAAGGCACTACATGTCGGATATGTATTTGCACGGCAAGCCCAACATAACCATTTTGTTCATTTCGATTGCAAGAGGAAATTCCTAATAATGATAATAATAATAATAATAATAATAATAATAATAATAATAATAATAATAATGATAATAACAATAATAATAATGGTAATAATAATAATAATAATAATAATAATAATAATTAATAATAAGAATAATAATATCTCTATTTAAAGAGGGTAACATATGAAGTTATACCATCGTAGAAAACAAATTACATATCCTAATTTTAAATGTGGCCTTCTAAAAACAGTACGTTAAGACATTTTAGCATGATACAAGATAACGTGTCGTTTGCACAAATCATCACGATTCATTGAACGACAATCATCCAAATTCTTTCAATTTGTCTTGTTTGGGTGAATGAATTAAGGCTGTTGCCAGAATGATGAAAATTAGAAGGTACACAAGTTTAGTTCATAAGATTGTTTTCAGTATAATATGGCGTATATTGTACTATGTAAAGTCCACCACAACTTCATATATGCTTGTATTGATCTGATGGAATTTTCTAGCTGCGAACATATCTTAAAACACGTCCATAAAGTCACCGTATATCACTTTTCACCAATTGTGGATATATAAGAAAGAGAAAAATGATCCCTAAAGAAAGCCCAACACAGCAAAAGTAAGAATATTGCAGGCTCAGTTTGATTGAGCCTGCTCATGGACGATATTGTCGCAAAGAGGGAGTTTATGAACTTTGTTATATTTTGTTATATTTTTACGGAAGGGAGCAGGCTGCTCCCAATGGAGTTTATAAACAATTCATGGGAACAATATTATTAAATATTTTCATGTATTTCATGATTTTCATGTTTTTCGATATTTTCATGCTAATTTTCCCGCTTAAATATTTACTATAAAAGGTGTTCACTTCTTCGATTGATTTGAGATTTACTATGCTGTGATGTATAAAAATTAATGCCATTTTGAACTTAAAGTTTAAAAGTATTTGGAATTATAATAAATAAAAGGAAATAAAAGGTATGAATATTTCAGTTGTTTTCAAGTTATTTATTCAACATTAAACATCCGATGCAATGGGGATAAAAGTTAAAATAGTTTAAAGGTTTAAAAATTGTTATTATATCTTCACTACATTGATTGGCACCGGAACCCGGCAGCAATTATTCACATAAAAAGCAGTGGTTAAGGTTTTGTGTATTGATTACTTAAAGTGAAATTAGTGTGCTGACAATTCATCCACTATGTCGGGACTTCAATACTTGAAAGGTGTGCGAACAAGATTTTACAACAAATTGTTGGAAGAGATACAAAACGTAAACGAAATTTTGAATACTGATTTGAGTGATTTATTTGATGTTGATGAATGTAAACAACTACGTCAGCGTGTGCTGGAAGTTAAGCTTAGTATCAACTTATATAACGACAAGCTAATGATGCACTTATGATGCACTCCGAGAAATTATCTCAAGCAATCGATGACAAAGACAGTGGATTTATAGACTTAATAATAAAAAAATGACTCCGATATAATGGTGAAGCTAGCACTTTATATCATCAGCTACAGATTTTTGAGGGCAATTTGCAAGAAAGTAAGAAAACAGAACATAAAAAAAGATGGAAGAGAAGGAGCCTGCTTTATCTTTAGCTGTAGTTACGGAAGAGATGAAGAAAATCTTTGAAGCTGAAATGGAATTACAGAGAAATTAAGTTGAAAGCAAACGAGTTTTGTTTGTTTGTTTGGATTTTTACGGCACGTCAACACATAACTGGCCATATCGTGCCGAATGCTATAATAGGCTTAAAATATTATGTAAAACATTGTAAATGACAATAGAAATGAGCCAATTAGATCCTAGAATACAAGTTTATCTCTTTTAAATAATCAATTATGTTTTTTGATGGAATTGTATTAAAAAGTTCTTTGAGTGAATTTACAGAATAAAATCTATTACGGGCCTGTGAAAAATCATGACATTAAAGAAGAAAATGCTTGACAGTAACATTTTCATTACAACCTACACAGAAAGGGGCATTGTCATTTGTGACGAGATAAGAGTGGGTAATTTTAGTGTGTCCAATTCGGCATCGAAGAAGAACTGTTTGATCACGGCGGTTTGACAGAGATAGAGATGGTGACATATTAAGAGATGGGTTTATATCGTGAAGTTTATTAAAAACGGCATTGTCCCAATTTGCTTTCCATTCAGATGATACGAGTTTATTTTAGCCGGTCTAAAATCACAAGCAGGTAACAATAAGACAGTTTTTTGAAAATTTAATGATTGTTTAGCTAAAGCATCTACTTTTTCATTTCCTCGTATTCCTACATGGCTTGGAATCCAATATAATTTAACATATTTTGTTTTTAGTATATCATGAAATCGCAAAAGAAGTTTCTTTACCATGATATTGTCAGATTTTTTATTTTTAAAGGATATTAAAACAGAAAGCGAGTCAGAAAATATCACAAATTTATCGTGGGTATGCTGTGCTATGTATGACAATGCTAAATCGATAGCTTTTGCTTCAGCAGTAAAAATTGATGCATTATCTGGTAACCTCATACTAGATGTAAAATTATTTTCAAACACAGCTGCACCTACTTTGCAACCTTCTTTTGAACCGTCCGTATAAATATGTATAAAATCTTCATGTTCTTCCTTAATTGCTAGAAACTTCTCTTTGAAATATTCAGGTGAATGTGATGCCTTTTTTATATTTGAAAGCTTAATATTTATTTCCGGGGAATTATAAGTCCAAGGTGGAACATCCTCATCGTCATTTTGAAGGATACTGTCTGGATTAAGTTTAAGTTTATCTAAATCATCTTTTAAACGAAGGCCTAATGGTTTAATTTCCTTTGGTTTGCTAACAAATTTTTCAGTATAACTTGCTTTGAAAATAATATTTTTAGCTGGATTTTTCCAATTAGATGAAATTCTAGTTGCATATTAAAGTGATAGTTTTTTACGACGAAGATAAAGCGATGGTTCCCCAGCTTCCGCATATAGACTTTCTACAGGTGAAGTGCGAAAAGCACCTAAAGCTAAACGTAAACCCTGGTGATGTATGGTATCTAGCATTTGAAGATATGATTTTCTTGCGGACCCATATACTACAGAACCATAATCTAATTTTGATCGGATAAGACTTCTGTATAATTTCAGTATTGTGGAAGAATTTGATCCCCAATTTGTACTTGATAAAACCTTAAGTAAATTTAAAGCTTTTAGGCATTTAGTTTTCAAATGTTTAATATGTGGTATAAAAGAAAGTTTTTTATCAAATATAATTCCTAGAAACTTAGCTTCATCAACTATTGGAATTTTAGAACCAGATATGTAAAGTTCAGGGTCATTATGTTGTTTTCGCAATCGGCAGAAATGACCACATTGAGTTTTTGACTTTGAAAATTTAAACCCATTTTCTATTGCCCACTTCTGAATTTTATTTAAATTTTGTTGAAGTTGCCGTTCAATTGTTCTCATACTTTTCGATCGATAGCAGATAAGAAAATCGTCTACATACAGAGAACAATCTATGCCTGGTGTAAGAGCGCTAGCAATATTGTTTATTTTAAGGCCAAAAAGTGTAACAGAAAGTATGCTTCCTTGAGGAACACCTTGTTCTTGTTGGTGATCCTCAGAAAAAGTTGAACCAAGTCTTACTTTAAAGTGCCTATCGTTTAATAATCCAGAAATGAAAAGAGGAAGTCTGCCTTTAATTCCAGCATCCTTTAGATCTTTTAGGATACAATATTTCCAAGTAGTATCGTAAGCCTTCTCAAGATCAAAGAAAATTGATACCAGGTGTTGTTTATTTACAAAGGCTTCTCTAATAAAAGTTTCAAGTCGTACAAG